TCCGTTTTGTAGGAAGAAGTAAGTTCAGAAATTCTCCATACTATTCATTGTCCCAAGCGTTTTCGGCCACTTCTTTGGCCATTTCCAAATGGATTTTGCTTTTGGTGTTGTTAGTTTTTCCTCGTGCTTTTTACTGTTTAAGTTGCATTTTATTTTTGTGTTGTTTCAAAATAGTAGCGTTCATCCCGAGCCTTCAATTGTCGATTGCGGCTGGAATTCGCGTGAGCATCTTTCTATCGCTTTTTTTTTTTTTTTTTTTTTAGAAATCTTTTAACACTCGATTTCCACTATTTTTCACTGAGAGATGTTTAATATGAAGGGCGTCTCTTATAACGAGATGTTTCCGGTAATGTGATTTATAGAGAATTTTAGTGTTTTCAACCAGAAATCTTCTTAATTTCTCGATATATATATATAAATTCCGCTGAGACATACTTTATGTATCTAAGTAGCATAGCGTCAAATATTTTAAATACAAGATGTCCATAACGTTCGTGTGCACTTTAAAAAAATGTATAACTATTTGTATTTGCGATAGAAATAATCTGTAAAAAAAATGTTATAAAGTTTAATGTATCTAGTTTTAAGTGTAGCTAAAATAACTAATGTGATTTCAGGCATTACTGTAAATCAGTTGGCAAATGTTTTCCGTGAACTTCAAAATCGTATTACCCTTTGTATTCCTAATGATGCAGGACATGTGGAAACTTAAATAAAATTTCAATAAAACCTTAAAAAATATAGATTTACTTCTTTCTAATCCTTTTTCCAAATTATTTCTATCGCAAATACAAATAAAGTTATAAATGCTTTAAAGTGCACACGAACTTTATGGACACCCTGTATATTTGAGAATGATTTTTGGATAAACACTGGAATATATATAAGTAAAAAAACAAAACAAAAAAAAACTTTCACTCACTTATTTTTATTAGACATTAAATTATGTCACTTAGGAGCCTCCATAATTTACCGAGACATTTCAGTTAGCCTGGTCTATATTTATGAGCGTTTTTAAATTTAAAAACTGAGAAAAACTAACGACATCTTGGGGTTTTTTTTTTTAGAAATACTTCTTGAAAAATGAAATCTTTGCATTTGTTTTTATATGTCACTCAGAGGACGAAAAGCATCGGCTAAGTTTTCCTTTTGTTATTATTCATGGCGTTCTTTTACAGATGTATATTTTAGTTCGATCTGAAATTTCACACGCACGCGCATGCGCATGCGCATACACACGTCTACTGCAAAAGGGAGATATAGGTTCGAATCCTGCCGGAGGGTTCATTTTTTTTTTTTTTTTTTTTTTTTTTATAAATAAGTTTTCTCGAATGTTTAAGGTCGGCAGACAGTGGGATGGCCAAGGACGCATTCCAAAAGCTGAGCAGAGACGGGGTGGGGGAGGGATTACTTTGGTGACAAAGAAAAGAATTACTGAGCTGCTACGTGACATCTGTCCTCATTTACAGCAGCGAATGTTGGGCGGTCTCCAAAAAGATGAAGAAGAGACTCTAGGCAATAGTTCTACAGAGGAATGCTAAAGACATGATGGACCAAGCGTGTGAGCAACGATGGGGTTTTGGAGAGGATGCAAACAAGGAGGAAGCTTACACTTAACACCAGGAAGAGGCAGATGAAATTGCTGTGACACGTACTGAGAAAGGAAGGCCTGGGGAATCTGATACTCACAGGGCGAATAGAGGGGAAAGAGAGACAAGGGAAAGCAACGCATGACATCCCTGGCCGGCTTAAGCAAGTGGATGACAGAACGTGGTCTGGGGGAGGTGGCAGAGGGACGAAACTTATTGAGAGCTACAAGGGATAGGAGGATGTGGAGTGCCATGACCGCCTACGTCCTGAAAGGACACGGCACATAAAGAAGACGAAAAGAAAATACTGTTTATATAATAGAAATATATCGGATTAATAAATAAAACTCCATGAATTCTTTAGAAATAGCTTTGTTTACTTACATTCTGTCAACATTTCTAAGTATTTACATTATTCTTTATTGTCATATTCGCGACGTTTCGGCCGTTGTACGCTCCGGCCTTCATCGGGATCTGTCTATATTTCTAGCATGAGGTATTGTAACTATTTACACTAATCGGACATTCATCCTTCATCGTTATTGTCATATTCACGACGTTTAGACCGTTGTACACCCAGGCCTTCTTCAGGTGATTGGAATTTTGAACTGAAGTCTTTATTTCGTTCACCGGGGTAGATTGTTTCAGTTCCACGTGCCATGCCTCTTCCGGGTGTTTCAGTTATCTTCCTTTAAACTCCAAGTTTTTGTACACCACTGCAGTAGCCAGGTATTGAACTCACAACTGTTTGGGTCAAGTCACTGGATCCACCCAACACTTTTATCCACTGGGCCATGTGTCCTTAAGGATGTCAGTCACCTGAAGAAGGCCGGAGCGTACTACGACCGAAACGTCGGGATTATGAGAATGAAGATAAAGACAACAGTCCGGGCAATGTAAATAATTACAATACCTCATCTTAGAAATAAAGACAGTTATTGCTTTGTTTACGTTCAAGATACGGAACAGAGTAGTTATGGCTCACGAGCAAATCTTAACAAGTAAAGTGGGCTTTAAAGCTGAAATGGAACCTTCCTTGATTGCCAGGCACTTCGTGGCCGAGGGATCAAAGTCACGTCGGAACTAGTAACGCTTTATCCCGCAAGGAGGTAAACAGGGTCGAATACTGACAAAGTAAATATTTTTCTTTAATAGAATTTCTCGAATGTTCAGGTCCTTTTTAACGATCTAAGATAATGTTTAAAATAAACGGAACGTCTTCTCAAATATGAGTATCCACTAAAAATAACATTTAAGTATTATATACATATATATATATATATATATATATATATATATATATATATATATATATATATATAGTTAAACCTAGAGAGCCAGACATTCCCTGACGATCCGCTTAGAGGAAACCTTGGTACGTTTGTCTGGCTCTCTAGGTTTAACTAGGTCTCTCTACTCATTGTATTGAGCACTTTATTTACTTGTTTTGGGTACTCGCATCGGTTTTTTTTTTTTTCTTTTGGCTTTGAACTCGCAAGCTGGACGATTATTTTCGGCTAACGTACGTGTTCTTGGTTCTTTCTTTTTATATACCTTTTGTTTCCCCTTTTGTATTGGTTTGATTATTTGCTAATCAAGACACTGAAGATTTACCGAACGAGTGTAGTTTCTTATACCAATACCAATACCAATAACAATATATATATATATATATATATATATATATATATATATATATATG